GAACAGCTGGTGCTCAGATTCCCAACCTATTGCCATGAAGGTTTGGGCGGTCGTAGGTACCAATGGGTCGAGCTGGGCACGGTGGGTGTACTGGCGGGGGTTGTACATGGTTGTTAACTCCTGGTGGTGGGTTTTCCATATCAGTGTCCAACCTCTGTAAGTGAGCATGTTGCTCTGCTTGTTTTCTCTGTCTTGCTATCTCTCTTTCAAACGCTTTGATATCTGTAACTCTTGGAACAAGGTTTGTTGTGCCATTGCTCTCAAGTTCATACACCTAAAATCCAAAGAGAGATGAAGATGTAGAATCAGTAACAAGATAAAATAAAAATGACTTAGTCTCAAGCAGGTGACTCAATCTCAATGTTTAAATCTACTCAGAATTTGGAAACAGCACCAATTTGATGTTAGGAGTTTTCAATAATCAAGGCTCATAAGACAAATATTGTAGTATAAATAATTGGCGAACCAATTCTAAGAGATTTCAAAGCACTGAAAATGCAAGTACTCACTTAATCTTAGTGCGATCGAATAATGGATGGGTTTAAACTATGACTAATACTAGAGTGCAATAACAAAATAAGAAAAGTAATAATTAAAATGACTTCTTTTGATTAAGAGAAGGGAGAACTCATGGGAGTAGGGATTATACATTGGGTGATCAAACTACGCATTAAGGATGAAAAATGATCAATTAAACTATCAACCTTAAGCCTAGACACATCTCTAAGCAAGCTCTATACCTAGATGAATGCTCATTTATTAACATAACTCAAACATCAAATGTCATTGGTTAAATGTTATAGTAGTAATCTTTAAGAACAAGTCTATTAGCCATCTTAACACCTTTAACAACAAATGTCTTTGGTAAAGTATGTTAAAAGCTTAAAAGAGTTGGCTCAGGCATTTCATTGAACACCTCGTGGGTGGGAAATGCCTAAATCTCAACCCTTGAGTGGCCAACTCAAAAGATGTATTATGAATACTCTACTAGATAAGAATAAGAGAAATCTACGCTAAACATCCTAGTTCTAGCCTAATCACCTTTTAATCTCCCTAACCCATGAATTCAAGGGTGATTACTCACTAATCTTCATGATTCCTCTCGAACCCATATTGGATTCAAGCTTAATCATGTAAAGATGAGTAGATTAATGCAATGAAATAAAACAGGATCACAAGAACAATGAAGAATGATTCAAAGAAAATGAAATTTTCCAAGAGGTTTTTGTGTTTTCTCTTCAAGATCAAAGATAATCTGTCTGATAGGCTACAAAGAGTACTTAAACTTAGGTTTAGAAAGTGTGAAAATGTCAAGACAAATGACCAAAAGGTCCTTAGGAAGTAGAAAGTTTCGACCAAGCAAATGACGCACAGAGACCTCGTGGTGTCGCTCCAGGAGGTCTTTCTGGCTTGGGAGCGACCTCGGTGTTTCACTCCAGGAGGTCGCTCTGGTTTGGGAGAGACCTTGGGTAGTCGCTCTGGGAGGTCGCTCCAGGGTCATTCTCGTGCAGCAAATTGACAAAAGGCCAAGCGACTTAGACATCTCGCTCTGAAGGTCGCTCTGGGTTGGGAGCGACATCATGGGGTCGCTCCGGAGGTCGCTCTACGCACTACTCGTCCAATGATCACCTTTAACTCCTCTTTTGAGCCCCAAATGCATCCAACCATCTCCAAGAACTCCAAGGGTACTCCAATACATAATAACGACTCATGTATGCAAAATGCAACCTAGAAGTGACTAAATCTTAATCTATATGATCAAAATGCATATGGATGAATGGATAAAACAATGGAAATATGCAAGATATCAGGCACCGCTTTCAAGTGTGGAAAATAAGTCTCAATCCTACTACTGGGGATGAAGTTCTGGATAATAATTTCATGTCTACAAAGTAAAAGCGACTAAAATTGGAGAAGCTAGACAGAAAATTTTAAATAAAACAAAAAAAAATTAACACCAATCAATTAGCTACTCTAATCAATTTATTTTGTTGCTAAATTAGTCATGCTTGAACTTACCTGAGATCCAAAAAGAAATCTATAGCATACAGTTGGTAAGAACCCACTAAGTGAACGGATCAAAACCATTTGACTAATATATTCTTCTTAAAATATGAAGGCGATGATTATGAAAAGCGAGATAACAAACATATTTTCCGAAGAGAAGCATCTCAAGACCGATAAGCACCTTCGACTGAGCATTCCGAGCCTCCCAAAAGTGGAGCAACCGAAACCTCACCTTGCCTTCATGGGGCCCCATTCAAACGTCTTTCAAGGACATCAGTTCCCCAATATCGTCGGAGACTATGGCTTTTCCTCTTCCACCTGAGGATACAGCGCATGTGACCCTAACACCGGTGGAGATGCCGGAAGAGACACCAGTTTTGCCAATGAGTTTTCCCTGGCCAGAGGAGGAGATCGCGGCTTTGCTACTTGATTTCATCGATTTGTGATCACCGGATAATGTCATCGCAGTATACTATAGAGAAAATACAACCACTCTTTGATGGAGGAATACAATCCGACTAAGAGATATATATAGGATTTTAGCGTGAGAAAGCCAAAAGAATCCATCCAAGAAATTAAAGGGAGAATAAAAGTAGGGAACATATTGATGAGATGAGGGAAACGGAATCAGAGAAGGGGGAGAGCAAAGAGTAAAGGATTCATGGTGGAAAAATTAGGGTTTCTAAGAATGAGAAAGGGGATCGCGTCGCTGAAGAAGCCGATGATTAAGTAAAGGGCTTAGGCCTTCAAAACTCACTACAAATGCATGGATCCAAACAATTTTGGCCCAAACAATAAAAGAGCACGCTGATGTGATAAAACATTATAACATGATTGGATGATTAAATTTGATGACATAGATAGGCTGGTTGGAGCTCTAATTGTACTTTTCTTACTTGTGTGACTCTAAGTCACTTATCATTACCGACATACTTTTCTCTTCTTTCAATGCACTTTGTTATTAGCTTTTCATACGTGAAATTTTAGAATTGCCCGTTTGTTCACTTAAATCAATTATAGTATAAAAATTTTACTAAATAAATCATATGTGGTCACAAATATTCAACTAAATAAAAATATTATCTATTTTTATTTTCTTTCTCTCACTTTATTTTTATTTACACTACAAGAAAAAGTAGTATTGATAGCATACTAAGATAGCGCTGTTTTTCAAACTGCTATGATAGATACTTTTTTTATTTTGGTACATATCTGTAGCAGTAAACTAATGCTGTCATGAAAAATTAGCAAGCGGGAATTAAAAAGCACACCTACCGCTTGTTCTTAGTGAAATTTCTTATAACCGCCAAATACTAAATTGTTTCTCTCTTGGTGTAACACTAATACTACTTAAGGAGAAAAAAAAATAGTTTCTAAATAGAAAGTAAAAAGAAAAATATATAGTGATGGAGAGAACTAGAGAACAAACCCTAATCCCCATAACTTCAATCTGTCTATCTCTCTCTCAGAATCTGTCTCTTCTCTCTGTTTCATCTCCCTCCTTCCTCAAAATTGATTTCAGTTTTAGATATGTATCTTTGGTGGACAATGTTTCTACCAAACCGAGTCTCTTTCTCCACCTCTCTCTCGCGAACTCTTGGTCTCCATCTCTCCTCCGCTGTGTTTTTCCGGCCAGTTTCTTCATGGCTTCTACCGGACAAACCTCCATTTGTTGTCTTCCATGGCCAGCCGAGTTAAATCTCTTGTATATTTTTTCGTCTTAGTTCTCTCTTAGGGTTTTGATTTGGGGGTTTTTAGGTTTGGGTTTTGATTTTTCTTGACTATCTGTATCTGGTTATAGAGTTCCTGTCTTGAGTCTCTGTTTCTGTTACACACAATCTAGGGTTTCTTTGTTAGAGTCTTTACTATATGTTGGTTTATCTTATATTTGATTTATCTTGTTCTCTGTGTAATGGTTCTTTGTATATAATTAATCGTGTCTCTTGTTTTCACTATCTTGTCTACGTCTATCTTGTATCTGATTTAACTTCTCTCTGGTCTTGACTATCTTATTCACCTTCATTTGTGTTATAGCCTTGTTGTAGTAGCTAATTTACGATTTTGTTCTCTGTGAAATGGTTCTTTGTGTTATGGTTTATGTGTTATGAGGCGGGAGGAGGATGAGGAGAGAGCCCAGAGCATCTCTTCAATGTAAGGATTTTTGTTGTGAAGAAGCTGAGTGATTTATGGATGGAAGCTCTATATGAGTTTCATACTTTGGTTGAACATGAAAGCTCTATGTGTGTTTCTGGATTTTGAGTTAGCTGCTCTCACTCAATTAGAGAAGTTCCTCAGCTTAGTTTCAGGTACCAGTTTTGTTCATGATTTCTAATGTATGTCTGGTTTGGAAGGAACTCAGAATAATTCAAGGGAGTGAGGAGAGTTTGCAGCAGGATTCGAGGGAGTGAGGAGAGTGGTGTGAGGCGGAGATGAGCAGCAGCGGTGAGGAGACAGAGCTTAACTTGAGTTCTGCCGTGTTCGAGCTCAAGGGAGGAGATGGAGTCTAGGGAGAAGATGGGTTTGGTTCAGGGAGGAGATGGAATTGGTTTCAAAGATAAGTCTCTTACCCTCTTTCTCAGATTCAATTTCATTTCTGATTTAATGTATTGCCTATGGAGTAAATAACCATTACATGAACTCAATTGAGAGAGATCTAGAGGAAGATGCTCTATTGGACATTTTGATTCATCTTTGACGTAAAAGAAATCAAAAATTTGAGCTTGTTCTGTCTCTTTGTTTCCAAAAGTTTGAATTTTTAATTAGCTATTCCACATTTTGGTTCATGGTTGACGTAAAAGCAATCTTCTTTGAGATTGTTCTTTCATCCCTGAGCTGTATATTTTAATTGGATATGACTAATTTACTCTAGTGGATAATTTTATACTAGCTCTGTTTTTTAATTGAACTCTCTTGATTGATTGTGGCCAGGATACACAAAGGAAAGAATCAGCATTGTGGTGATTGGCCTCAAGATCCACACAGCTCCTGTTAAGATGCGTGATCTCGCAATTCCCAAAGCTGATTGGCCACGAGCTATCACCGAGTTGCAGTTTAAACCATATTGAAGAAGCTGTTGTCCTCAGCACCTGCAATCGTATGGAGATTTCTCACTACGTCTCTATTAGGTGCTCTAAATATTTCTCTATGCGATTTGATACTGGGTACTTACTATAACTTCAAACTTTCTACTTATCTTGATGCTGAGATATTCACTTCAATATGTTTCTCTTCTTTGTTGATGATGCAGCAATGTTGATGCTAAGATATTCGTTTTTCCACTCTATCGTTTCCAGTTGCAGGTATTCTTGGTTTCTTTTGTATTTTTCTGCAATAGAAACTTAAAATCTCAATTATAAAAGTATATCCACGGTTCTCTAGCTATAGCAGATTTCTCTAATTCGGTGCGGATGGTTGTTCTTGCTGATTTAGCTCTTTTGTTCTTGCTTATTCACTGGAATCCCTTTCCTTGACAACAAATTAGAAATGTTTTTATGTTCCTACTTGTATGTTATAAAGAAGAAGTAAGAATATATCGCTTAAAACTTAAAAGACTAACAATTCTTAATTCAATATCTCAGACAACTAAACCTTTCTGATTGTTTTTACAGGTTCTGGACAGAGCTTGTCTTCTCTTCAACGCTGGATCTGAAGAAATTGTGGTGTGGAGATGGAAGATGAGCTGGCTATGGTGGTGGGTGCTGAGAAAGAATAAGAAGAAGAGAGGAGGAGAAGGAGACATAGACACAGAGGAATAAGAGGAAGCGGCGTGGTGGATGGAAGAGGAATCTAGAAATGGTGGTAGAGATGGAGCCAAGCAAGAAGAAGAGAGAGGTAGATAGAACATGAATGACTTAGAAAGTTTAGGTTTAGTTTGGGATACTGATGTAGATATATTTGGTTTATAAATGAAATATAAATTGAATATTACTTTTATGTAAATTGATTTGCAAAATATATGATTCTATAAACCAGTTTTAATAGCACACTATCAATAATATGTATAGCATTGATATATTACTATGAAAAAATAGACGATAACATTCAAAATAAAGGCTATCATAAAATTTTATTAAACATAGAAATTTAAAAAAATGCTATCATATGCTTTCCATATAATAGCGTTTAAAAAATTGCTATCATATATGAGGGACCTAAGATAGCTGGGGCAGACATAGCGGTTTCAATAATGCTAACAAAAGCATATCATAGCTGTTTTCTTACGCTAAGAAAAGACATTTTTCTTGTAGTGTTAGCTTCTGTCGGATCGGAATCAAAAATGACATCCATAAGAATTGTCGTTCATCTCTTCTTCCTGAACACCGACTTCCAGTACTGCCATCGAAGACAAGACGCAATTGAATTTCATTACTAAAGAATTGATTTGGTTGACGAAAGATTCTTGATTGAATCGAAAACAACACTCCAACTTTCTCTTTTCTTTTTTAATCCTCTCATTCCTCCAACTTTATCTTTCCCCTTTGTATTGTCTGATTGCTAATATACAGAAACCACCACAAGTTTCTACGGCTGTGTACAAATCTCCTGCGGTTCCTCAGCTCTTGTTAAGTATCCAAAATTATATTTTTTTATTTTCATAACTAGTAATGTGTATATGTTACAGTGGTGGATATGCAATAAAATCTGACACCACCAGGTTGGTTATGTTCAAAGTTGAAATCAAAACAGTGATTTTGATAATAAATTCTGGCTGAGCATCAACATCAATGCAGCTGGAATATCAGATCCATAATTTGAATACTATGTTTTTATATTGTTCGGGACCTATTAGTTTTCAGATGAAATTACTTGGCCATTTTCTTAATCGTCAACATAAGTGAACTTTTTATTCTTCTAAAATGTTTGTGTTTTGTTTTCATCAAGGGAGGACCAAGAGGCATATCTCTTGAAGAGCCATGTTGATATCCTGCGTGGACTTTGGCTCTAAACTCTGTGTGGACAATGTACATTTTTTGCGGAAACGATGTACATGTAGACAACGTGGAATTTGTGTCCATGTACACTAATTCTTACGTGTACACCGATTTAAAATTGTACGCATGTATTCCTCTTAATGTATCCACATCGTATATGATGTATTTTGGGCAGGACTCTGAAGCTAGTGTCTGTTTCATGTTCTTCAATCCATGTAAAGATTATAGCTTCTGTTACGTGTACACAGCTTTAAAAGCCATCAATTTCAGCTTCTCTATGTTCTTCAAACCATGTAAAGATTACATCTTTGCAATACTAATATTCATTATGAATCATCCACTTATGTGAAGTTTTTTTTTTATTATTGTAAGGGATAAGTTCACATAGATTGTAGGGAGTCCATATTACACTAGTTTGAAGTGTCGAACCAACATATTTTTTCATGTGTGTACATGTAAATATGTGTACATATGGACGTTGTGAAATTGTGTACGCATGACAAAAATCCATGATGAGAATCACCTCTATAATTCTTCTGAAAGTTGCAAGACTGCAATTATGTATGAATCAAAGAATTGTACACATGGAAGAAGAGTATAGAATCAAGTCATTGGAGAAGTCACTAGAAGAAGTAATTGCTAAACTTTGGGTTTCAAGATCTGAGTTTGAGAAGAAGATGTATTAGGATAGAAGAAAAGCAATGTTGGTGATTATGTGTTTAGCGAGTTACATATGAATAGTTTTTTTGTAGTGTACATGTGGATAAGCTTAATGGTGTACATGAAAGATGTATTCACATGGATACTATTTTTATGTCCACTATGTTAAAACATGCATATGTGTGTACTAGATTGTAATTATTTAAAAAGAATCATATGTATCTAACATTGTCTAACTACCTTATTAGTCTTGCATTAAAAAAAGAAAACCGAAAAAGAGTGTACATGTAGTCTCATCAAAACGATGTACATGAAAAAAGTATACACATGAATATTATTTTTTTTGTTGTACACATGCGTGTACATGAACGCTAAATACAAAGATCCTCCTCCTTTGTTGGATCCATCCACATTTCTTTTGGTCATTATCTTCTGAATCTACGTCGGCACTCCAGTGTAGGCATTTTCAACATGGGTTGCATCTAGAGCTGATACCGTAATAAATTGAACAACTTTTCTCAATAAAGGCTTTACTTTCTTCTGTCTTTTGTGCTACTAAGTGACATGAATCTCAATTATTTACTATAAGCATCACCACTATGTTTGGGTCTGAATGTCCCTTATTTGTCTCCTTCGTTCGCTTAGCCAACCTCGTTGTATTCTCAAATGTCGAGTGATGGTTATAAGAGCTCGGTAAATGATAGAAATGTGGTGGAGAATATGACATTAAGGCTGATGTATATTAGATCTCGTCACGTCATATCTGTAATGTATATGGATTCTTTTCCGCCGTCGAGACTATATAAAATTCTTTCACTACCGCATCCTCACCGTACCATTCTGTTTGTTGGTTTAATTTAGAAATAAGATGGAAATAAAGTAACTTTTTGTTTGTGGTTCAAAATAAAAAAATAATAAAATAATGCTTTTTCACTTTTTAAATAAATGAAACACTAAACCCACTTTACCATAAAAGAAAAGGAAGGGAGAGTTATCAAAAAAATTTGTTTTTATTTAGAGGTATTGGTAACTTTGACCACCAATAAACTACCCTAGTATAACAAACTGCCTTAAGTTGTATTGTTGTGGCTCTCAAGGGATCAGGACCACATTTGATGTTGTAACTCCAACCAGATTCTTAGCAACACCATATTGAATGAGTTTATCAATTATCTCATACTTATCTTCTAAGATTACAGTTATGCCAGCTCCTTTGCATCCGAGACTTATTTCGGAAACATAAAGATAGAAACACATCAACTCCTAAATCTAACCATGTCTATGTGTACACTATATACAATGTACATAAGGAATTTTTCTCCTCTCCATGTTCACGTGTACAACAACATAACAGCCGCAAAATATTCTTGTGTACACTAGACAAGCATCATGTACACAAACAAAACACAAATGCTTTTACTTCTGTCACTGGAAACAATATTTTATGCTTTCATTTTCTCTGTTATCATATTGTCAAGTAACTCTCAGTCTCACGATTAGAGAGAGAGAGAGAGAGAGAGAGAGAGAGAGAGAGAGAGAGAGAGAGAGAGAGAGAGAGAGAGAGAGAGAGAGAGAATATTTTTATATGTGGCTTAGACTAAATCTATTAATAATATTTTTGTGTGGTTGTGTTTAAATGTAATAAACTAATAAAGTATGATACATATAGTTTGAATTAACATTCAACCCACGTGATAAAAATGAATTTAGTTGGGGACTTTTTAAACTTTACAATTTCAAAAACTACCTCAGTAGCTTAAATGTATCGAGAGTGTTATTAAAACTCAAAAATTGACCCTGAGTGTAAAACACTCAACAATAAACTAGGGTTTTGAGATTTTGATTTTGTTTTTAATTTAATAAATATTATTTTATATTTTTAATTTTATGATTTTATGATATTTGAAAAAAAATTATCAGAAAAATAATTTGTTTAAATGGGAAAATAATTTTACAAAAAGATTAGGCGGGAAAATTAGACGATTTCCCTACAAACTATTCAGGGTAATACTAAGTCGTCTAGAACCTAAATATAACCCTCAAATTAAATTAATTAACTAAACACTTCATAAAAACAAATATATACTATTATATAAGAAGTAAATTTGCTTAGTTGTCAACTTCTCCTTAATTTTAAGTAAATTTGTTTATAAAAAATTATTTAAAAAGTAAATTTGATTAGTTGTTATGTTCTCCATAAGTTTAGGTAATTTTGTTTACTTATCATATTTTTAATATTTATATATAATTTGTTTATAAATAAAACGAATTTATATGAATATATCATATTTTTAGAAAATAAGATAATTATTTTGAATTGTGTTGTTATCTTGAAATATATTTTCACATATAAAACTTAAATTTTAATTTTTATCATATTTTAATATTTTCATAGAATTTATTTATAAAAAATGAATTTATATGAATATATCATATTTTTAGAAAATAAGATAATTCTTGTGAATTATGTTATTATCTTGAAATATATTTTATATATAAAAAATGAATTTTAATTAAAATATAAAAAATTATTTATTTATTATATAACTAAACGAATTGATATTAATAATTTTATATTTTTATAAAATAAGATAATTCTTATGTATTATGTTGTTATATTGAAAACTAGGTATTTTACCCGCACTTGCGGGCATATTTCACTTATGAATATTTATTAGTTAATGTTTTATTAATTAAAAAAGTAACATAATAAGTTATTATTCATGTTTTCAAAAAGTACAAATCAAATATCAAATAATTATCAATGACAAAACACAAACATCAGAAATATTTAGAAGATATATTTCTAATAATTATTTTGCTTGATTTATATTTAATTATAATATTTATACAAATATTTTACTTAATTTATATTTAATCATAATTTTCTATCTTAATTTTAAATTTTATAATAGAAAACATATTTTCAAGATACAATAGAATGCATAAGTTATTTATTTTCTAAAAATATAATATGCTAAATTGGTTTTAATTATATAAGATTATACTAATTATGACATATAATTAAATTACCTAAAATCATAGAGAACTTAATGAATTAGCAAATTCACTTCTTAAATAGTTTTTATTGAGTGATGATTTATATTTTATTAATAATAGATATTTTTCTATTTTATTTTCAGATTATATAATATAAAAATATA